GCCCTTCCAAAAAATTAATCTATAACTGTGAGGCAGAACTCCTCTTCAACAATGGTTTTCTGTGTCCTTCTGAACTTCTGAAGCTTCATCTCTTTGACTTGTGACCAGCTTCCAAGTATAATACGCCCAGCTTTCGGAAAACTCATTTTAACGACCCTTTATAGTGGCTATTAATATGTGATTTGTGGCCGACTTTCAATGCATCTGTCGCCAAGACAGCAGCAAAGATCACTGATCGTAAGCGGCACCCCCAACAATTACCGACACCGTCACTCTGCAAATAAAGCAGAGATCGAGACATCAGCACCAAGTAGTCTCTGTTTGCCCTGAGTCAATTGCTCGCTCTGGCACTGTCAGCAATCTACAAGTAGAAGCATCGGTGTGGTTCCGGTGATTCATTAAAATGAAGCCCTTCAGATAAAAACGTGAACCACATGATGATGGCGGTGGCGTTTCACGCTGTATGTACGGGAAACCCCACTTCTGGGCACATTCAAGTGTCACAAGGGAATGGTTCCACCTTCCCAGTGCTAAACGAATGTCCTAGTATGGTTATGAGGGGTTTTATTAACGCACCTGATTGCATGTTGTCGCAGCAGACGCCTATGAATTGTCTATGAATTAGTTCTGATTCGAGAGTCGCAATCCTGCGGTCTCAAAGGCAGAAAGTTCATCCCGATCAAGGGAATTTCTTCACTATTCCTAAAGATTTTTATCAGCTCTGGAGGGAAATAGAGGGAAACAAGATGCAGTGTAGAGCATCGTTCTGGGACCCCTATGGGGGTCGTAGCTGGTCCCTAGGAAGAGAGCAGCATTCGGTCTTCGGCAGAGGCGGTATTTCGCTTCAAGTGAAAATTTTTGGTCATTGACTTCACCGGATTTTTTCCCTTTGCACATAGGCCATATATCCTTTGCTGGCACCACCGCAGAACTATTGCTCATCTTCTATTGCTAATTGTTGGTTTTGACAATCGACATGTAGGTGACGACCACCCGCTCTCCGCTTGACGGAAAACTGGGAGCATTTTCGGAAAATCAGTCGAGTTGCAACAGCTTGGGAAAATGAAAGGGATTACGGGAAAGGTGGGATCGTACTGGAACAGCAGTTTGGGGGGGGGGGGGGTCGCACCAGATCGGTAAATTCGGTGGGGGCAGTTCGTACCGACATTTCATCCGTGGCAAGACAGCGACAAATGCACTGGACTGATGGAATACCCACAAAAACCAACCCAGAATCCGGGTACGGGCTCAGCTAGTACATGACTCACTGGACCTTGTAATGATGCTTTATACAAGCTCCTTGGAGACTTCAAGCTGTCCCACTGTGTAGCACAATAGAACGCGTCGACGCTGGAGACTGATGACTGTTTCACGACGAGATGAGAACTTAAATATTTTGAAACTAGCGTGTCTCAGCGTGGTGGAATAGAAGAACAAGTACCGTGCTCTTCTCTTTCCCATAGCGTTAGTCGCGTGTCGTCACAGGGTCCACTATGTGCCGTAGCAACAACATGTTTGAAAACTTGAAGCATACATTATAAACACCTTATGGACCAGAATAAAGTTCGGCGCACTTGGCGCGAGCATGGTACCGTATTTTCTTGCTGCATAGTGTCCCCACTGGGTTCGGGCACAGGATCAGTGACAAGGCTGCTGTGTGAACTACGTTGGACTACTGTTCACAGTTCTGATGCATACTCTTGAAGTGGAGCGACTTTGAGATAAAGTCCCTAAAGATTAGCGAGGGGGCGGAGGCAAAAAGAGACACTTCCGGCCGGTTCACCAGCAAGTTTTTGCAGCCCAGACAGAGGACGTGGATACGAGTACCAGGGCGGAAGATACCCAAGATGTTCCTCGATAAGCAGGAGCTGGCTCTCGCCCATCACCTTCATGTACACCAAAATATGAAGTCATCTCCAGTCGCAGCCTGACTGGAGAAGACCTTTGGAATTCACGTCACCTCCAAACAGCCTGCGAATTTTCTTGTATGGAGTAACCCATGGATAGCTTACCTGGAGAACAGTACTCTTGATCTGAAAGACCTCCAACATCGAGAGCTCCCACAACGTCGCTGCGGTCGAAAATATCATCTTTACCGCAGTCGCCTAGGTGTGGGTTGGTGGTATGGACGCGCGAATGTTTCCTGGAATGTGAAGACAGATATTTTTTCGTGGAACCCGAGCTGAAGGTGAACGCTGACCATTACATGGACCAACTCGTGGAGAATATCTTGCCTCCGTGTCATTGCCTGTACTTTCTTGGAAACTTCGTACTGCTACAGGAGTGGGTGCCTCTCCCACCGCGAATCGAACGGTCGTTTTTAAAACTATACTGTCGGGCCTACTTGTACTGGAAGGGCGTTGAGTACCTGAAGAAGACGAAATATCCATATGTGTCACCTCACCTAAACCTCCTCAATTATCCGGTTCGGGCGGAGCCAGGGTGGTCTACAGTGGCGGAGAAATCAACGACCTCGCTGTACTCAGGCACCGAATCACGGTCCCGTGGCAGAATCTTTCGATGGCGCGCTCGGCCAGAAGACTTCAGAGTAAATCATCCTAACTATATAATATAGATCGGCTATGTCCGATGTCGAGCGTCCTCCGGAACCTCCTTTTCTGACCGAGGGTGGAAGAAGGGGAGACTGATCAAAGGGAACCCCGGTGCACAGCGTGCATGTCAGTTAGGTACATCCGAGTCTTGTCGCAAGACTGCAGATGGTAGCCTCTGGAATCCCCTTGTCTGCTTCGAGAATGGTGGACTCTTATACTTCCTGGGGGCCGTTCCAACCAGGGTTTGTCTCCGAGGATCGAGTCTCTTCTCGTGAAGCAAGCGAACTAAAAGCGAACGATCCTTAACGTAGTGTGTCCTCTCGTCAATGGGCACTATTGCATGTGTACGGACAGCTGCCGGCCCCAGTGACCGCATGGCCACGGAAGAAGCAGGATGACCGCGAAGATACTGCCTGTGAAAGGTGACATCAGTAACTCAATAAACCCAGGAAGAGGCAGCTGGCGCCCTCCACACCGCCATCTTGCAGGGAAAGCTGCCCAGAGTGTCCTACAAGCATAGCATATTAATTCATGTACTAGCATCGAGAATCAAAAACTGTAAGTCTCCAGCTTCTCTCTTTATAGAACCTCGGCATCGTTGTTATTTGTGTGTTAATTTTTTTTGTGCTGCGAGGTTGTTAAGTGGAACTGTTCATTGACGGCCTAACGTTTCGACCAGATCGTCGTCCTCGGAGGCCTGAACATCGCCCAAGATTTTTAATTTGCCTTCTAAACCGTCAAACGCCTCGTCCTCCTAGCGTTTCTGACGAAAAGCCTTGACATTGAAACAACCGAAAAAATCTCCGTATTTGTATAACATAAACTCACAAGTCCACCGCTGGTAAAGAGCGGAAGAAGCCCCCGCCTCATTCAATTGTTAGTGTCATTTATTTGTGAGACTCACTGTCCTGTCCTTACATATAGTAATCATATTCAAGACTTGCACGTCTCACTGCTCACAGTAGCTGGCAGTGCGGTGAAAATGGCATGAGATCATTTGTTATGGATAAGCACTCATTTCGGTTGTTCAATCTAGGATTCCTAGCAGAAATCCAGAATGCCTCCAAGCGCAAAGTTTTAGCGTACGAGACTGAGGTTTCCGCCAGGAAAGCGCTGGAGGCATTCTGGATTTCTGCTAGGAATCCTAGAATGAACAACCGAAATGAGTGCTTATCCATAACAAATGATCTCATGCCATTTTCACCGCACTGCCAGCTACTCTGTTGATGCAGTGAGACGTGCAAGTCTTGGAATTTGAATGTACTCATATGGTAAAGGAACCACACAGTTGAGCTCTTCACAAATTTACTACTAACCAATTTAACTGGTCGGCTTCTTCCGCGTCCTTACGGGTGACTTGTGTGAGTTAGTTATACATAAGTGGAGATTTTTTCGTGTTGTTTCCTTCCAAGTTTTTCGTCAGAAACTGGTTAGCGGAGGACGTGGCGTTGACGTTTAGAAAGCAATCATTAAAAAAATGCTTGGGGGCGATTTTGTTTCAGGCTCGAGGGACGACGAACTGCGTACGAAAGCGTTAGGCCGGGTCAAATAAACAAGTTCCACCTTACACAACCTCGCAGGTCACCAAAAGAAATTACACACAAAAACTGTAAGCTTTTGAAAAAACAACTGACAGGGACTTTCTTCCACCTATAGCTTTTCATACTTTGTGTGTTCGTCTAATAAGCGGACATTGGCGTAT